TGAAATTCTTTCAGCTAGAAGCATCTGCCGATAAAACCGATGCCGGTAGCGACAAAACCTGCAGGGAAACTCTGCAAAAAACGCATCTTCGCACGGACAGTCCGTGCGTTGGCCAATTATTACAATTTTCATGTATGCAATAACGCATAAAAACAGTGCAGTTCACATGGTTATCGATAGCATTTTATTCAAAAAAAAACATTTTTGTGTCGGTCGGTTTCATGATGCGTCTTCTACGTGAATTGGCTTTAGTTTGTTTAGCAGTGTCTGAATTTCCTTTCCTCATTCACGATATAAAAGTTTAGTTGGCCTTGTAGGAGCACGTGGCGGATCCGTCATCCTATGGTATCTACGTGGTCGATCGTCGCTTCAAAGACTGTGAAGGTTCAATACGTGATTTAGCGCAAATACTCTACGATTTCTGTGGACTTTCTCGACGCCAGCGTATCATAATGCGTAACCGAACGGAACGTTTGAGTGAATTACTTGACTGGAAAAGTTTGGGAATATTTTACAGGTCAGTCAAATTTCTCGACGCTGCAAACTTGCAAATGTTCCTCATCGCTGCACCATTGTTACTGCTATTGTTGCAGAGATGCCCGAAGGATGGCACTGGAGAGGCTACATCCCGATCTAGACGCTATTATTGAAAACAATATTGGCAAAGTGCCATCGGCGTCACAAAGTCGCCGATCAAGCCTTAGTGGTGCTTATGAAAATGCTAACTAATAATAAAAATAATTGATCCTAGTCAGCTGTGAAAAGCTTGCTCATGCATTATTTTCTGTGATTCTGATGGCATTTATTTCGTTTTTGTTAGCTTTCATTTATTGTTAAAAATCTCTTTGTGCTGTTAATATTAGGAAGATTTTCACTGAAAAAGCCTTAAATGTGGTTCAGATGTTGTGCTTTTAGAGGTAGTCGGCCGTGCTAAATATTCAAAACACTGAACCCTCAGACTGTTGCAGAAGTGTAAAGAAAAGCCGGCATGTGTTAAGCAATGCACACTGCTTCAATAGCATCAGACGGTATACGTAGTTAAACGTAGTTAAAACATTAAATGTGAAGTACAAAAGCCAGTGGGGATCCTTACGGATTGAACGACAGTACCAAATCCCATGTTACTATACCTAATAACCTCCTGCCCTTCACGATAGGCAGGAGTCCTTACTTCCAAGTTCCATTTCCTCGTAGGACTCGAAGGCATGGAAGACGTAAGCGCAAATCTCGGATTTCTCATGTCTATATACAAAAACGCATAAAAAATAGGGATGAGCACAATCGTGCAACGTAGTGAGAAAAAGAATGAACATAAGCCCGCACTTGTAAGCAGAAGATATGGCTGCAGTAGGCTAAAAAGGATAGAACTGATCAACGGACAAAAGGGTTAAAGAAGTGGCGCGCGACTACCGCGAAGAATTTGCAGTCAAACACCAAGAGGCAAAATAGTGCAAAAAATTCTCTTCAAAACTGTAAGCACAATATAACATGCCTAATTATGCGTTTTTGCCTATATGCAAATCGCAAAAACGCATATTGAGACGACCCCGTCTGTGTGTGTATGTATGTGTGTATGTGTGTGTATGTAT